GGTGCGAATATAAATGCAAGATAAATAAAGAATATCATCAGTATATAAGACTTGTGTCATTCATTGCGGAATATTTTTTCAATACATGGTAAAATCTTATTATAATATTATAATTTGTTTTATTTTTAAACCATTGACAGATATCATAAATGTCAAATATATTTAATCTGATAATAATATTAATTTTGCTATTTTATTTCATTAAAAATATATATATATATAATATGTAATATATATATTTGTGGAATATGTTTCAAAAATTGAGTCTAGAAGTCAAAAACACAAAAGTTGATATACAAAAATATCAATTAAAATTTATCTATTAAGTTATAACTTTATATTATGAAATGTAATTATATGAAAAAGTAAAGTGAAATTGTTCTATTACATTATTCTTTCACTTTTTCTCTTTTCATCAAATATGATAAAAATATATTGCTATAACTATACTGCAGATTTTATGCATTTATGTAAAATTTAAATATATAGAATAAAAAATATAAGATAATTAAATTTATAGAAAAAATTAAATAAATAATTAAATCTAAAAAAAGTAAAAAATATTCAAAATATAATACGCATTATGATATTTTAAAAATAAAATAAATTTCTATTTAAGCTCCATTTTTAATTCATAAAAATTTTATTTTACATAAACATCTTTAGTAATATTTGAACTTAATAAACTAATATTTCTGTACATTTTTCCAACTTTTATGTTTATTTTGATTTTAAAACTCTTCAAAGATGTTTCACAAATATCATAATGTTTCACAAAAAATAATATAATATAATATATTTACAGATCATGTTATATGCAAAAAAGAAATAAGTATATTATAGTAATAAAAAATATTTATGAATGGAAAATTAAAAACAATTTAAAAATTTAAAGTTCTAAAGAAGATTTTAAATTTTAATATATTAAAATAAGAAATGAAAATTGACTTACATAAATATTATAACATATATATTTATATATATATTTTTCTTATACTTTAAATATTCTATTATAATTTTATTTAAAATTTTCTTTTTTAGATTTATTAAAAACAATGAAAAGATCAAACGACATGCATGGAAAATTGGACGAATTCGGATTATTATTAATTCTCGTGCAATTTTCATATCAGGTAAAATCTAAATTTTTATATAATAAATAAATTGTAGATGATTACACAAAATAAAATTTTTATGAACATGACAGAAAAAAATTTAAATTAATTAAGAATTAAATTAAACATTTTTTTATTAAATATCATAATTCATATTTGAATATTTTGTGCTTCTTTGCATATCATATACATTTTATTAACTTTTGTACATTTAAATTTTATAAATGCATAAATATTTGTAATCTAATTATATAGCTATATAATAATGTAAATATTTATTATATTATGTATATTATTTGAAAAATAAGTTAATTTATATAATAAATAAATTATTCATATACAGGGTGTTAATATATTCATAACATATTTCTGAAAAGTTGATTTTAGAAACTAGAACAAATACAAAAATTAATATATGATAAATAAATAATAAATTAATTATAAATGATAAAATGGTTTAGGCTTATTTATTAAGTTATAAGCAATTTGCGTTAGAAACGAGACGGAGATAACAATAGGAGCAAAACAATAGTATAATAGAGATAGAATTGTTTCAATTTATTTCCGTCTTATTCTAATTTTAAAATAACCTGTAATTAATAAAGTTATAATTAATTATTTATTAAGTTATGATTAATTATAACTTAATAAATAAATTTCAAAATATTTTTCTATATCAATTTTTGTATTTGTTTTATAATCTTTAAAATAAGAATTCTCTAAAAATATAAATACATTAATTCCCCACAAATATAAATACATTAACATTCTATATATATGAAAAAGATGACTATACAGAACTCAACGAATTACTATACTGCAGCTGTGGTAGAATTTACACCAACTTATGTCAGAGATAATGGCCCATTAACATTATCAAAGAATACAGATGCATATATCGAATATATTGAAAAAGCAAGTAAACAGGTAAGTTCAATTGATTATTAATTTATTATATTATTATCTGTTATATTTTTGAACAGTTTGCTTTTTTAGTGCTTTTTTGTCCTATATTTCTTTTTTCAAGATTCTGCGTCTATGTTAATATTTTCTCAATTAATATATTATTTTCATTCTTAAATATCATATTGTTTTCAATAACAAAGCATTAAATTTTGCATTGAGAAGATTTAGAGAGTATTTTGATACATATTCGAAATTATCATTACATTCTCGAGTTTTTACCATTGCACAACTGATTTTCCCGAATCCTATGTACTATAGTTTTAAATAAGTATTTGTTAAGTTGCAGGGTACAATATAATTTGCTTTTGTAACATTCTGATAAAAAATTTTACAGAATGCTGATATTATCGTTTTTCCGGAAGATGGATTGACATCACTTCATATGCCTAATAGATCACATATGGATTCCTGGACAACATTAGTTCCTTCCATTCATGATAATTATGTTCCTTGTACAGATACAAGTATTGATGTCGGCGAAGTAAATACTTTATATATTCATATTTAACAAACAATCGTTTTCATCTTAATTTTTATTTTTCTTTATTTAATGTTTATATTCATAGACATTAAAAAGATTATCATGTGCTGCAAAACAGAATCGTATTTACGTAGTAATAAATATCGCTGAAAAACGACTTAATAATGATGAATGTTCTTCGAATCTTACATGGCATTATCATAACACCAATGTCGCGTTTGATCGAATGGGAAAGATAATTGCTAGGTAATTATATTTCAAAATTAATTTTATAACAATTTCTTTATTTTTTATCTTCATATACAGATATCGCAAAGTAAATCTTTATATGGAAAAACAATTCGATAAAACCAAGATACCAGAAATTGTAACTTTTGATACTGATTTTGGAGTGAAATTTGGTACCTTTATATGTTTTGATATATTATTTTCGGTACCGGCTTTAAATTTAACAAGAACATTAGGAATTTCAAATATTATATTTACCACTGCCTGGTTTTCGGAAGTACCATTTTTAACTGGTATTTTTATTTTTTCACTCTGCATTTTATTTTATTTTATTTTAAAAATGATTAAATATTATTTTTCATTTGAATTATTTTTTTTCAGCCATACAAATTCAATTTGGATGGTCCTTTGCTGAGAATGTAAATTTACTCGTGGCTGGATATCATCAACCGAATATAGGAACTCTAGGAAGTGGTATTTATTTAGGTAATAATGTTATGTATTAATGTTACTTTTTCATTTATAAGAAACAATTTTTCATCACCATTATTTTCGATGCAAATAATTTTTTGATATTTTTTTAGGTCGTAATGGATTAATCAACGCTACTATGGTTAGTAATCCCAAATATCGACTTTTAATATCTCAAGTTCCAAAATCAACTAAATCCAGAGAAATTGAAGAGAGACAAATAGTACAAAAATTAAGAAAAGAGAAAAAGGAAAATCAAAAAATGAAAAAATATATTACACGCTATGAAACATTCGACTTTTACGACAAGCCAAAGAAAACAAATATTCTCAATTCGATAAAATTATTACATGATAATATTACATCATTCGAATCTGTTCTGTTCAATAATTCGATAATTCAAAATATTTGTTATCGTAATTTTTGTTGCGATTTTGAAGCTCGTATTGATACTATTAATAATTTATCATCGATCCATTATCGTGCAGTAGTTTTTAATAATGTTCGATTATATGGTAAAGAAGTAGAAGCTGGTGTTCGTCTGTGTGCTTTGATTCAATGTTCCAATGATTCAATTCGCTCTTGTGGTTTTATTGGTCAATCCAATATTACCTTTTTTCCTTTAAGCATTACGGCACATTTTAATGATTATCCAAAAATTTTGGTAATGCCTAGTGTACTCAATTCCTCACTCCTTCCTTTCGAACAATGGTCATATATTGAACATACATATGGGAAACAAACAAATCTAACTATTGTTTTAAACGAACCAACAAAAAATCTTGTTACTTTTGGTATATATGCTAGAGATTTTGAAAAAGATAAATAGTACTAATTTTAATAGTTAAATTTATTATTTTTTTGTTTGAAATTTTTTCTTCTTAAGAAAATATTTCAATAAAAATATTACGTAATGTTATAAAGATATGTATTATATATAATATGTTTCAATTTTGTTACAAAATGATTATTTGTAATGATATAAGAAGGAAGATATAAGCAGAGAGATATAAGCAGAGAGATGAATTGTTTGGTCACAAAGATAAAAAAGATTTTTTTTTTTAAGTCATATTTTTCTGGATTTTTAATTAATTAGTTTTTTTTAAATAAAATTATATGTTATATCAATATATTGTTATAATGTGATAGTTGAATCTAACCACTTATGATTATGATCTTTACATAATCTTAATATGAAAAATAAAAATATGTATAATAAGTGCAAATAATAAAACAACTATAATTTATTGAAAAAAAATTTATTGTAATATGTAATATATTCAAAATTACATTCATTAATTCTTAAGTATTTAACATATTACAAAAGCACAAGTTTTTTGAATATTTTTCTTCATATATTGTGTTTTGTTAAAAAACTTTTTCTTTAAAGTCTTATTGAAAAAAAAGTTGTAAAAATAATATCAGGAGATCATAAAAAGATTCCGATTTTCTCTTTCTATCCATCTATCCAGATATGAAATATTATACTGCAAACAAGCATAATATAATAATACATTATCTTATTGAAATCATATATTCAAATGTAATATTAATGAAATATCTTCTAATAATATCGACAATATATTAATTTGTGTGAAAATCATTATTAAATATTGTATCTAAAAAGTGTAATATTTATAATAATCATTTATAATATTACATTATACATTCAATGTCTAACAATCTTAAAATTATATATACTTAGGATTTATTGCAGACTAGAAATGCATATTATGACTATTTACAGCTTCAATATTATAAAATGTAATTTCATCTGAAAAAATAATTTTTTAAGAATTATTCTAATTTTTTTTTTTTTTTATCTAGTTACAAAAATTGACTTTCTAGATAAAATAATGACAAAAAAAAGAAACGAAAAATTCGTTCTTGAAGAAACGAAAGACTTTCTTCGACGATACATAATATACGGTCTTATTTTATTTAATTGTAGATGTGACTAATATGCACAATTCCTATTTTTGAATGTTAGGAACGTTAAAATCAACCAATCAAGTAGTATTTTTTTCAAAGGATTTGTTATTAACCACGAATAGTGCTACATATTTACGACAAACTCTTCATTATTTTTTTTCTTCCTTCTCTTTTTTTTTTTCTTTCAATTTCTTTTCTTTTTGTGATGCAGTTACACTCTCGATTATTTCAAAAAACAAACATGAATCACAACATGAAAACATAACAAAACACTAAACAAAACGGAATTGAAAACAAATTATTTACATGTTAATAGGTAATGATTAATAGAAAACTAAACACAAATGTCATTATCTTTTCTATCGATTTTTTCTCGATTTCCAATTGAAAACTGCTTAAACGCGAGTGTATTGACATTTTATTTAAAATATCGGTATGCACATACTGATTTACCAAAACCAGACTTTCAAGAATATCGTCGAAAATCTCTTCTTAATTCAAATATATCGGCTAAACGAAGTACTGATGAACGAAGAACAGCAAATTATGCTGCATCTTTCGGTATGTTTTCATAAATATTTCGGTTTAATGAAAAACATAATCAAACAAAAAAATCGTTTTCATTGCCAAAAGAATAATAGAAAAAGATAATTAACATAATATTTTTACAATTAGTGGCAGGTGTCGCAGCACTTTATGGATTAAAATCTCACATATTACATTATATATTTTTTCTTGCCCCATCACGAGGTATTTTAGCGGAAGCACAAATTGAAATTAGTTTACGAGATATACCGGTAGGAAAAGTATCAATATTTAAATGGCAAGGAAAGCCAATTTTCGTTTATCATCGGTAAGGAATCATGTATAAAGATTATTTTTTAATTATTTATTTTTATTTTAACTTCAGCTTTCAAACTAATATTCGAAAAAATTTTAGTTCCCAATCCATTATAGACCAAGAAAGATTAGTAAACATTGCAGAATTAAGAGATCCTGAAAGCGATAATGAAAGAGCTAAACGACCTGAATGGTTAATTGTCATTGGAATTTGCACGCATCTTGGCTGTGTGCCAATTCCTAATGCCGGTATAATACGTGGTGGATTTTATTGTCCATGTCATGCATCTCACTTTGATGCAGCTGGACGTATACGTAGAGGACCAGCACCTACCAACTTAGAAATACCTGAATATAAATTTCTCACCGATGATACCATTCTTATTGGCTAATTATCGTACTTGATCGCACTTTATTTATCACTGTTCTATTAATTACTTTTTTTTATTCTATTTAATATAATATTAATCTTTATTATTTATTTCTATAAAAATGAAACTATTTCTTTTTTTTTTCTTATTATTCCTATATTTTTTTACATATTATTATTAATATCATCGCAATATCTGTTAATTATTATCTATTATTATCTTCGTTATCTTGTTTAAAAAAATATATAAATAAATAAAAATATATAGATGGCGCTAAAGCCATACTTCGACCATTTTATGTTTGATAATTTTCGATTGTTGGTTAGTATTTTACTTTATATGTTATATGACTCAATTTTTCATTTTTTCTTTTTTATTTACTTTTCTATATTTTTATTTAGATCAAACGTAATACTAATTCATCATACTACATTTAAAAATTGAATCAAAATGACACCACCAATGGAAAGAATACAGATTCTTGAAACAATTGAAAAAGATATTATAGTGTGTTTGCAAAGTGCAGGTAATCAACAAATCTTTATTTTCTTATATACATTCTTTTTGTGTAAATAAAGTATAATTTATATATAAATTATAGGACAAGCTTTCGTAGAGCTTAGTAAAGAAAAATCTAGTTTAAAACAAGCTGAAGCACAAACTCAACAATTTTTGAAGACACTAGGACATGTGGAATCTAAATTAAGTGAACAAATTAATTATTTGACTCAAGTTTCTACAGGTAAACAATGTTTTAATCACCACTTAATCTTTTTTTTTAAAATTTATCTTCTCCTTAGGACAACCACATGAAGGTTCTGGATATGCCAGTCAAAAAGTATTACAAATGGCATGGCATAGGTTAGAACATGCACGAAGTAGAGTAAATGAATTAGAACGTATCAAAAATAAATCAAGATGAACACATCTAATCATCTTTCTCAATTCATTATTTTCAATGTATCAATCATAAATGTTTCAATTAAAAATTTTCAGTTTTTATATATACATGTATAAATTATATAAAGCATTTAATTCATTCATAACAAATATATTTGTAATTTTTATGCAAACATATGTATCTATACAATGAATGAAAATTTCAAAAATTGCATTATATCAAATAATTCAATTAGTTATTTATGTCTATATTTTTTCTTACAAATAATAAAGTTACGAATATTTTATAGAAAAAACATTCCTATTATGTCACATTAAAAAATATAAACATAATAAAAATAAACATCAATAAATAAGTATTTAAGATACCGATCTATCCATTATACCAATACTACGCTTTATTGTAGCAGCTAAAAAAAGTCTTGATCGCCTTTCTTCATCTAATTGTTTTGTCAATAATGACATTTGTGATTGTAAATCTGTCATTTGATTTTTCAATGTCCTAACTGTTTCTGATAATATCCTATTTGAAATGAATATATATATTAGATTTAAATTTTTAATGATATAAATATATATATTTTGATCTGTAATATATTGTATATAATAATTTTTCAAAATTAAAGAAATATTAATTTACCGATTAGTACAAAAATCCCAATTTTCACAGTTATTCATTAAGGAAACTTTTTCTTGCATTTTATGTGAATCATATTCCAACATTGCTAAAATGTGAATAAAATTCGAGATGTAAACATTAATATATAGATTTAAATATTTCAAAAACAGAAAAATTTAATTCACAACCTACAAGTTGATTCTCCAGAATGCATAGTGAATCTAGCATTTACAGAAAGACAGTATGCCTCAATCACTTTTAATATAATTGCATCTTCTTCAAATTGTCTTTCATCTGTAATAGAAAAAATTGATTATTCTCTGTATTGATATATATATATTTTGTTTAGTTTAATTTTTTATGTTTATATCCCTACTACATAAGCGTGGTGAAGATAAATCCAAATTAATGTCAGTTTTATTAAATATTTTAAAAGTATAGGAAGGAGGTGCTGGTCGTAATGAAGCAATACTCCAAGGTGTTCTAATTCCTAAGGTGGAACAATGTTCCATGATTGATCTGTGATGATGATGATGATGATGATGATGATGATGATAATGTTGTTGTTGTTGTTGTTGTTGTTGTTGCTGCTGCTGCTGCTGCTGTTGCTGTTGCTGCTGCTGTGCTTGTAACTGCTGTTTCCCATTTTGTTGGCTGCAAATCTAGTAAAATGAAAAAAGAAATGCAAAATAATAATTCAATAACTTATCATAATTATAATTATAATTATTATAATAACTTATTATAATTATTATTATAATTAGAACAAAATTAATTACGAAACATATTCTACTAATCACATATTTTAAATAAATAATAAAGAAATTAGAAATAAACCAACAGCATATATAAGTTAATCTTGTTTAATTTAATATTAATTATAATCTTATTTTTCAATTATTTTATAAAATGCATACAGACGTTAGTAAAACTAAAATTTACTTCACACAACATGGCTGTAAAAAAAAACATATGCTTGTGTGTACTAAACGCGCGTATATGTATTTCTCTCTCTCTCTCTCTCTCTCTCTCTCTCTCTCTCTCTCTCTCTCTCTCT